TCCGGACGGTATGCCGGAAGCTGGGCGTCACCAGGTGGCCCTACAGCCGGCCCGGGCGGAGTCAGGAGGACTCGTCTGACTCGGAGGCAAAGAACGCGGGCTCCTCGGGAGAGCAGGAGCGTCTCCCCGCACATGCCCAGGAGCGCTCCTGGGACAAGCTCGCTTGCAATGGGACGGCGGGGGACGACGAGGAGAGCATCTACCGAGCAGTCTTCTTCCGGGTGCACGGGAGGACGCCGGCGGAGCAAGATGACGGGAGGGCGAGCAGCTGCTGCTGGACATCAGGAGGGTCGTAGACTCGTGGAGGGGCAGGGTGGCGTCTACGGGACGAGGAAGGGCTGAGGGAGGAGGGGGGGACCCTTGCATGTACGAGTAGTATGGGCTCTAGACTAGAGCTCGGAGGATGATAGTGTGGATGAGAGCGTATGCGGCAATAAACTTCTGAAAGCAAAAGCTCGGACAATCATTCAGTGATGAGACAAATCAGACGCACAGAGGAAGGAACAGTGATGTGTGATGGCTACATCTTAAACCGACAAGCGGGCTTGTGCCCGCTTGTCGCTTCGGTATGCGCAACATGCACGAGCCTCAAGCATCGACTCGTCTGTACAAGCTGATAGCCCGAGGTGAATTGAAGCGCATGGTAGTACAGGATGGAAAGGCCCGGACTTACACAGCCTGCCCAACTTCGGCGAGCTCCGGTGGCAAGTCGATATGCTTTCCAGCCTTGCGGCAACGTGCATGGAGTTTGCTCCGAGTCGGTCCTGCAGTATTTGGGCTAACCTTCGAGTCAAGTTCATCGGAGCGCCATGGCACCGTACTCAGGGCCAGTTTCTCTCAGTGACTCCTGGTTGATGAACTTCTGTCACGGTCTCAGCTCACCCCTCAGCGCACGATCTTGGCACTGAATTATGGAGAGTTTAGATTTTGGGATCTTTGTCGGAGCGGCAGCCGCAGCACTGCAGTCAGCCCATCCGAACAGCCGGGCGGCCCGGCCTCAGACTGCCCCGGCACCCCTGCCAGTGTCCGGTCCGGGACTCCGGGACTCGGACTCGCGCGATCTGGGACCGGCGTACCGTCCGCGGCCGGGCCGGCGGCCGCCGGGCCCGGCCCGGCCTAAAATGCCAGGGAGATGCTCTGGGGCGGACTCATAGCATCGTTTCGAGGGCGAAACCATGCAGCCATGGATAGCTGCGCACAATGGGAACGGAATGATGATGATATGGATGCTCTTCGTTCGGTCAATGAAGGTTATGTGATGTTTATTCTCTCTCTGCAAGTTCTAGACAGTTATGTCATTGATTGACTTGGTGTAGCAGGCTGTTTTTGCGGAAACGTGCTGCTCTAAAAATTATCAGCCCAACAGCCCTTGTGACCCAGATCACTGGTGTAACTTTGTTTTCCAAGAGGAGTATGAAAAGATGTCGATGATTGGAGGCATTATCTTTGCAGTTGTGACAGGAATTTCTGTCGTGTGGGTGTTAACCAGGGACATCTTCCGCCTTTGGGGAGCAGGTGCTTTTGATTTTGTTTGACGACAAGTTGAGTTTCGTGACATCAGATAAGAAACTTCAGTATCAGTCTGGACAGTGACACCAGATATTTTAAATGCCTGTAATATAGTACACTCAGTTTTCTCGGATAATGGTGCGGTTTCACTCATTGAAGACGCATGGTTTCAGCAATGAATAAAAGAAACCACATAAAGTTTATTTGAGAAAATCTGCATCCGACCAAATGTTCAATTGAAATGTTCAGCTACGAATACATAGACGCTTGGATCTGCGATTCCATCAACATTCTCCAGGACTCAGGCGCTTTCCAATTGATCTTCAACCATCCCAATCAAACATTGGCATGATTGCACATCAGACGAGAACAACCTGGATGTCTTGTGTTTTGTTCCCCTGAATGAAGGCATGCACACACGAGGTCATCTGGTGTAAAAAACATGCATCAAGGCACATCATGACTGAGGAGTTGGGAATCTTCAACCTGTAAGGCCTCGTTGATGTTGTTACCTTCGTTGCACCAGATAAAGAAGACTTGAAATGAAATCTTCGATTCTTTGAATATCTTGTACAGAAATCTGTTCAAGGCACACAAGTGATTCGATGACAGAATGAAGGGGATGAAACATATCCGAGACTACATACCTACAAAACTGTAGATATCCATCGCAGGGCACAAGAAAACGAACGCAGAAAAATGTAAGAACAAAGAACGAACAGTGGCAAATCACAAGATACCAACCAATGTGGTCTCAGATCGAATTGCTTCTTGTTCCATGACGCTTTCAGGACTTCCATTGTCACCGATGTCACCCAGTTCTGTCAAGACATATCCAAGATCCGTAGCTCTCTCATACTCAGGTCTGCACCCCATCACATAATTAGACAGACAAATAGTCAGTTTCTATGTGCTGTTTCTTTGTTTCGAAGATTTACCCCTCTTTCATCGTGAACGCGACCTGATACACATGATCCCATTAAATTCGACAACATGTTAGGCAGGTACGAAAGAGACCGAGTAGTTCAGATTTGATGAGAGCAATCGATCATTTCTCAGGTCCGCAGGTAGAGATGAGAGCAGGAACACTTTCTGAACAGGAATAGTAAATCAAAGCTCCTTGAACCCAGACTTGAATCAACCTTGAAACCAGATTTTTCAACCCAGACCCTGATTTTGGAGGCGTATTTCTCTGCTCTTTTGCCAACAATGGGAGCTCGTTGTTGCCTGTATAGTCTCAGAACACGTTGGATTTTCCTCTCTCCCTTCAAAACAATCATGTTAGTCGCACATGACAAATATCGACGATTCCTCAAGAGCAAAAATCTCCACGTTGACAGCGCTGTAATCGATACATCAGTCGATGCTGCCACAACAAGGATGTGATCTACAGTTTTCCGGCCTCGATTCCTGCATGATAGGTGTAAGTTAAACGCATAATCCCCGGAGAAAATGTACCAATTGCAGGCAAGAGAGCATCGTCGTCTATGTAGCCCACCTTGCTCATCTACAAAACGGCTTTGAGATGTTGCTCAGTCACTCAAAGATTCATACCTTGAGGGTGGATATCAAGAGATCTGCTGATAGCTGTCCAACATTTCCCAGCGAGCAATCTAGTGATCCAGATTCCGTCATTCGGGTGCGAGGAAATCTTGCTGCCTTTGGAGCAAGCTCCACAGGAGCACGGACATGAAACGGACAAGAAATACTCACCGGCTACAATGATTGTCCCACCCTTGAACATCTCCTCCGCCCTCTTCCCTCCGCTCCCCTCGTCCATGGCACTCACGAAAACCGACATAGCGCGCAGTGCTGTGAAAGAGCCCGCCTCAGCCGCCTCGTGTGTGAATGGGATTGAGCGGGGACGAGGGCTGTGTCACTCCAAAGGTCTGAGCGGGGATGAGGAGCTGTGGCCATCTGGTCTGAGCCAGAAGACGCATGTAGGCCATGCTGGGGTGGAAGGAAAATGAGAGGGAAGGGGGGGAGAGCTTGGCCGGTGTGTGTTGGTGGAGCAGGGATGTAGGAAGGACGGGAGAGAGGACAGAGATTGATGAGAGAAGGAGCGTCTGATGATGGTGATGATGCCTCCTGGGCGTCCTGTGTTGTTGTGAGGAACTGTTCCACTTGCGCTCGGTTAAGACTCTTTGCGCTCGTTCGCTCCAAATGGTCGGAGCGCGGAGTTTGATGATTCACTTGTATCCGATCCATCGTTCTGACGGCATTCTGCCATGACAGAGGTGGACATGGGTGGAGGATTTCCTACCTGAGGGGAAAGACAACTTGGATTACGGATAATTCCCTGCGCCATCCAATATGACGAAGGGTGGAGAAGACATCGAGCTTCAGAGTCATGGTGATTATAGATCATGAATTTTTGCTGTCTCATGAAACCACTGTGATCGAGTGATGCAGACGAGGAGCGGGAGAGGCTTCTACGGCAGGACGCCCTTATGCACGACATGTCAGACGTACTGCCTCAAATAGTCGGCAAAGACCGTTGAATGACTTGATTGCTCCTTGGCAGATCATGATAGACGATGTTGATGATACTGAAGGTCTGGGGATAGAATCGCTGGAGTACTTCAGATGGAGCCTCGGGTTGTGGTTCTTGTCAGTACTCTTGATGGTTGTAACCTGCGGATTCATCCTTCTCTTATTCCGATGGATGCCGATTCTAGCGCTGAAGTGCAGATACCGCAGAGTAGCTCGATCGAGAGCAACTCACGTGCTTGTTTCCTGTACTGATGGTACCAAGACAATCGTCGAGATCGAATCGAGGAGTGCCGAGGGCTTTGAAGATCAGCTCCCACGCATGTTCGTTTTCAGGCACTTCATGTACTTTGAGACGTCGAATGGATTTTCTCCCATCACATACAAGAGCGGACAGCCGTTTTCTGCGCTGGTGAAGCATTCGAGTGTGGGCCTGACTGGCAGAGAAGTTGCTAAGAGACGAGCTCTGTTCGGGAACAACCTGGCAGAAGTTCCAATCAAGTCACATTTCCAGCTCCTCTTGGATGAAATCCTTCATCCTTTCTATGTCTTTCAGATCTGGAGTATTGTGGTCTGGTATCTTGAACCGTACGTGTTGTATGCGACTGCGATAGCTATCATCTCCATCTTCTCAGCGCTGATCTCGCTGTTCTCAACCAGAAAGGTGGACCAACACTCACTGCTTTTCCATCTGATATGCGTGTGCAGAACTTGATCAATATCAGGAACATGGCTCAGTTTAGCTGTGATGTGACAGTTCTGAGACGTAAAAGCCCTTCAACGGCACCTGAAAGAAGTTTGATTTCTTCTGCGGAACTCGTACCTGGCGATGTGGTAACAGCCGTTTGTGAACCCTCGGCAGTTTTTTCTCACTCAGTCGTTAGATCGAGATTACGGATGAGATGACATTTCCCTGTGATATTGTCTTGTGCTCTGGCTCGTCGGTGGTGAATGAGAGCATGCTGACGGGAGAGTCTCTGCCGGTCTTGAAGGTGAGGACGGTGTTGGTACTCCCAGAGGCGTGCATGAATTGTTGAACAGGCCGCGATACCTGTGCATAGTGAGAACACATTTGATAGCGAGGCAGACAAGCGATTTGTTCTTTTTTGCGGGACAAAGTCTCTTGAGGCAAGACCAGTGGGGGTGAGTGGCAGTCTTCGAAGTTGATCAAGAGCTCCTGACACCGTTGTAGAACAAGAAAGTCACAGGAATCGTGCTCCGAACTGGGTTTCATACTGCCAAGGGGCGTCTAGTCCGGTCGATTCTGTTTCCAAAACCTGCATCCTTCAAGCTGTATGCCGACTCCTTTAAGTTCGTCGCTGTGATGTCGCTCATGGCCGTCACGGTACCCATGATGAGCTGAGTGTGTTGACTTAGTGGAGTGACAAGGCTTGCAGGGCTTCTTGTGGTCTCTTTCTACCTTCATCCAGGTCATTTCTTGTCGTTTCATTTGTTTTCCTGCTGAGCCTCTTCCTCCCAGTACGACGTCGACATCCGTGACGTCATCCTGAATGCTTGCGACATCGTCACCATCGCTGTTCCGCCGGCCCTCCCTGCTGCTATGACGATCGGCACGGAGTTTGCTCTCGAGCGGTTGAAGGAAGCTCGCATCTTCTGCATCTCTCCCAACCGTGTCAACGTATGCGGGCAACTAGACATCATCTGCTTTGACAAGACTGGTGGCTCCTCCTGCCCTGTGCCGCTGCAACTCACATGGATGGCAGGGACGTTGACGGAAGAAGGAGTCGATGTGAAGGGAGTTTTGTCTATCGACGGGGAGATGGACGATGATGTGAAGGAAGTCACGGACTCTCCTCATCGCCTGCTGCAGTGTCTAGCGTGCTGCCATGGCCTGACTGCCATAGACGGCAAGCTCATCGGTGAGTAGACATGCTGATTGAGCAGCTGCTGGGAACTGACATTGATCAGGCGATCCTCTTGACTTGAAGATGTTTGACGCGACAGGATGGGAGCTCCACGAACCTCCGGTGGAGATGCGGCATGACTCCGTTGTCCCTCCCGTTGTTCGCCCTCGACGAGCGCCAGGGCAGGACCATGGAGAATCCCCGGAGTCTGCTGGTGCTGACTCGGTTGGAGGGCTGGCGATCATCCGTAGGTTCGACTTCACGTCAGAGAGACAGCGAATGTCGGTCGTTGCGAGGAGCGATCACGAGAAAGGGTCCCATGTCTTCATGAAGGGGGCGCCGGAGGTCCTGTCCTGTCCTCCTCCCCTCTCCCTCTTTCCCCCTCGCCCCCTGCTGTCTCCACCTGCCCATTCGCATGATTCCTCTGCGTGCATCCAAACCGCTCATGGTCTACCATCTTTATCTGCCCTCCCTTCTCTTCTTCTTCCTCCTCTCCTCTCTCCTGCTCGCCCCCTTCTCGCTTTGGATGCTGACGGCAACTCAGGTTGTCAAGGACCTTTGCGACCCCTCCACCGTTCCTGAAGATTTCATGAAGGTCGTTCACAGCTACAGCAAGGAAGGCTACCGTCTACTGGCCTGCGCTCACTATTACGATCCCTCGATGACGTGGCATCAGGCACTCAAGGTCTCCCTCACTCCACCTGAACTCTTCCTCTCATCTCCTCTCTCCTCTCTCCTCCCTCCTCTTCCTCTTGTCTGTCTCCTGCTAACCATCTTGTCTCTGGCCTCTCGCCTGCTCGTCCTGCCTTCCTGTCTCTCACCCCCCAGCAGATTCCTCGCGACAAGGCAGAGAACGGGCTGAAGATCATCGGCATCCTTGTGCTAGAGAACCGCCTCAAGCCGGAGACAGCCGGGGTCATAGCTGAGCTCAGACGCGCTGACATCTCTACATGCATGGTCACAGGCGATCACGCGCTCACTGGCATTGCCGTCTCTCGCCATTGCGGCCTCATCAACAAGGACAAGCGGGTGGTCGTGTCGGAGGTGGGAAGACCACCTGCTCCCTCCAAGCCCTCCAGGGCTCACAGCTACGGAGACCTGTCCCAGCATGCTCATCATCGATCCACGCTCATGGTCCGCAGCTCGAGCGTCGCAGAGCTGGGAGAGGAGAGCGCTATGCATCCTCGTGCCGACCGCTCGCCCGTTCATTCTCACCTCAGCGAGCTCGCGGTGTCAGGAGGCCTGGAGGTGCTCGCCGTGCACGAGTCACCAGCGAGCATGGAGACCTCGCCGACCGCGCAGGCGAGTAGAGGGCATGTGCATGCGTCGCACAAGGGAAGCAAAGGTCACGACGAGAACATGCTGAGATGGTGAGCGAAGAGATTTTACGGTAGGCTACTGATGACTTTACCAGGGGCTTTACGGATGAGGAGGAGGAGGAAGTGGAGGAGGAAGAGGAGGAGACGGTATGGTTTCGACAGATCCAGGAGGATGGGGAGGAGGAGGAGAAACATCATCACGATATTGACCATCCTCATGGAGAATTCTTCACGTTAGACTTTTTCCTCGAGCAAATGAGGGGGGAGCAACACTCTGATGCCACACAAGCTCCTAAGAGGTTTTCTGTCGACGACCTCGAGTTCGCTATCACTGGACCCGCCTTTGCTATCCTGTATCAGATGCATCTTCAGGGCAACTCAGGTGGAAGTTAGAAATCTTGATTGATCCCCGGTGCTGATCTTGATCTGCGTGTTGATTATCATGTTTCACTGTTTTGATCTTGAATGATTCCTTCTGCTGTTGTCGTACGTCCCTTGATTACCTACACATCCCATCCTCTCCTCACCTTCTCTTCTACTTGTCTCCTTCATCTCTCTCTCAACAACTTGTTCTCACAAGCTATGATGATCAAGATGCTCTTCGCGCCATCACCTCCAAGGCTCGAGTGTTTGCAAGGATGTCGCCGGACCAGAAGCAAGCGCTTGTCGAGACTTTTGCAGGTGCAGGAGGAGGCCCATAACCTGCTGCAGATGTTGAAGTGACTTGTGGGTCAGAGATGCACGGGCGGGTGGTCGGGATGTGCGGAGATGGAGCGAACGACTGCGGAGCATTGAAGGTGAGAGGACAGCAGAGCAGAGCGAGCAGAGCAGAGCAGAGCAGAGCAGAGCAGAGCAGAGCAGAGCAGAGATGAGATGAGATGAAGCTGAAGTGACGGACGGACGGACGGACGAACGAAGGAGCTCCACCTGAGTTTATCATGTGCAGGCTGCGCACGTCGGGCTCTCGCTGTCAGAAGCAGAGGCAAGCATTGCTGCTCCCTTCACGGCATCCGAGGTGAGAAGCAAAGAGGAGGCGATGATGAGGAGGAGGAGGA